GGGGGGGGCTTGCATAGCACTCATGGGTGTGACCAGAGTCTAAACTAACTGGGACCATCAATGTTTTTTTCCTCTACCCCTGACACCCTGCTTTGCAAGAGCTAGGTTGTAGTGATGGGATTTTTTTTTCCAGTTCCTGCCCCAGTGGATGCTGGAGGTGTTCTTTCTGAACAGGAAGCTTGGGTCAAGCTAGGTCGATCTAAGCCTCAGAGCCTTCCAGCTTAGGCCTTTTTTCTCGGAAAAACCACTTTTAGGAATGTGGAAGCTTGTTTCTCAAGTAGAACTCTCAGGATGAAGAGTTATGGGAGTTTCAATTCAAGAAATCAAAAACTCCCATACATTTGAATTGATTTCAACTACGCTGGGAAAGAAATTTCTATCCGCTTCTCTTAAAACACATCTCTCTACATCATGCCCTCTAGATGATTGGAAATGGTGGCAGGCAGACTATAATCCCCATTATCTCACGCCAGCAGAGCAGAGTCACTAATGGAGGATGATGGGAGCCTACAATCCATGAGTTTAGAGGGTTCTGTGTTGGTGAAGGCTGGTTCATACCATCGACCATTTCTTGCAAATAACACAAATACCCAAAGAAAACTACTTTTACCATTGGCTGTTCTGGGTCCTCGTGCAAAATCGCATACATGGTTTATCACACCGGTCTGCACATGAGCAGCGAGAGGGAGGCCATTCTGATAAATGTAAGCTCTTGCGATGCTGGTCTGTTGACCTTTTGCCTCTGAAACCTCCTCTGTAATTAGCCAGTCCATATGGAACAGTCCTTCTGCAACGAAAGAAAAAATTGTCCAGAATTTTGAAAAACTATTATGGAAGCTTCTATGCAAAATACATACATTTCAACATTGCGGAAAATGGCAATGCTGAAAAACTAGAGGAGGAACATCATGTTTATATCATCAGGAGAAGCCTTTCTCTTGGTCCCACCACCCTCACAGGTGCATTTGATGGGGACACAGGAGAGGGCCTTCTCTGTTGCTGCTCCCAGACTTTGGAACTCCCTCCCACAGGAGGCAAGGCTGACCCCCTCTTTGCTGTTCTTCTGAAAGCAGGGAAAGATCTTTCTCTTCAAGCAAGCTTTCCCTTAATGACAACAATCCCTGAGTGGGGTTCTTAACTGCATTGCTCTGCCTTACTACCTTGAATGTGTTTTGACGTTGCTTCTTTTCCCCATCTCTTAGTGAGATATTTGTTTGATCCATTTAAATATTTGTATACTTATTATTTTTAGTTTTAGATTCCAGGTTTCCAATGTAAACTGCTTGGGTCCTTCTTAATGAGAAAGGGAGGGAAAAAACATTTTAAATAAATAAATAATAATAATTATCATGGCATGTTCTGCATTTCATTCTTTTCTGATCACCCTGTATATACTTTCTCATCCCAACCATGTGATGTAAGTGTGTGTGATAGCATGTACTGTAAGTCAATTTAACACTTCATATACAGTACCTGGTGTAGTGGACTGTCATTCACAAAATGTTTGCTTGGTAGTTTAGGTTATCTGGCTGCGGGGGGCAGAGGTTGGGAGTTCAATTCTCCACTTGACCAGGGTTTGACTCAGTGATCGATAGGGTCCCTTCCAACATTGTAGTTCTATGATTATTATTATTACTTATTATCCACTCATGGAAAAGGCTTCAGGAGGCAAAATCCAGAGCTGGAGTCCCGAAGGCAGTTCGTGGTGTTCTGGCAACTCCTGCGACGTTGCTGGATCCAGTTGTATTGGCTCTTGCCTTTCCATTGGACCATTTCAGCAACGTGGAGAGGGGGGATTTGCTGCTTGGGTAACAGCCTATCCTCCATACTACTTTACCCAGGCTTCATGCTCTGGAGAGGACACTTCTCGATACAGAGCATGTTACCATAGTCTCTCGAGACTGAAGGATGCCTATGATGATGATAGGCCATCATAAATTGGTTGAGTCCTTACACTTAGTTTCCTCCCCAATTCCAGTCAGCCTTTCCTGACCTCTAAAAAGATTCCAAACTCACTCCCTCTTTCTGGCCACTAGCGATCCACTAGTCCCGCCTTCTGGTGTTGCACAGGGACCATGAAACCTGCCCAAAGTCAGATATGGCAGGTCAAATACATTATGAATAATCTTGGTTGGTGACCCTTGTGAGAGGCCCAGTGGACATTCCAAGTCCCATCTCCAGATTCCCCTGCCAGATGCTCCAACACACTAAGTTATGTCAACACTTACTTCACCAATGACACAGTAAGAAACATTTCTAGGGTCACGTCCCTCTCCACACCTAAACCTCAAAGCATGCTTTGTCTTAAGGTGATTTACTTCTGCCAGTGCCAGAGTAAATTACCTCAAGAGGGAGGGTGCCTTGAGATTTGGGTGGGAGAGTGAGAGGAAAACCTGGAATTGTTTCTCCAAAATTAAAATTCAAGTTGGGAATGAATACTTCAGTGGCTTAGAAACAGTCACCCATAATTTAAATTTCTTTGAATACCAGAAGGATAAATCTAAGATTGGAAAGATTCATCAACACCCTCAATCCAAATATGCTCAGAGTTAGGGGCAGGGGGGAATGTGGCATCATTTTTGGACTATGACTCCCAGGTTTCCCCAATAGGCTGGAAGACACTGGGTGTGGTCATCCAAAGAGATACTATCACATGTTTTAATATGCTGTTGGTATCGTTTAATGGCCAACTGCTAACCACTGCCATCTTGGAAAGGAGATTTCCATACCCACATCCTATTGAGTTTTTAAATCAGTTTCCAAACTGGCGAGGAGGGTTTACTGCTGGCATGTTAAGTCCCACAAGGCGTTAAGGATGCCTTCTACTACCGACTAGCATGTGGCCACCATGTGTCAAGCCAGATATCTAAGAATCTGGCAATGCTGTTATTTCTGTTATTGTTCAAATCAGTGAATGATAAGAGGGAACAATACGCCCCCTTTAGATGTGCTGGTAAAAAGAAGAGTGGTGATATCCTGAATAAAAAGCTCTCTACTGGAACAAAGAGTGAACGAAGTCATGTACTTATGTGAAGGTACGGGTTATGTTATGTCACCTCTACTTGGAGACCTTCTGCTCACGAATGTTTTGCTAAACCCTCAACAGAAATCTGGAAAGCAATAATCTTTTCCACATCAATATTAGTTCTTTTAAAAAAAAAAAAAACTGAATACAAATAACTGGAAAGATAAAAGGTCAACCTTAAAAAAATAACCTGCTGCTATTAAGTCATAATCTCTAGTGGAACAAACATCCAAGGTTAGTAAATATGCATTTTATCAACAAAAAATGTCAAATCTCTGCCACCTGGGGATAAGATATGGTGATCGTATTCAAACTCTTATATTATCTGTTACATATTGTATTGTGCCAAATGAAATGTGTGTACACATGAAAGGACAGTATCACTTGCCTCTGTTGGGAGGGATGTTTATTTAGAAAATATGCTGTGTGCGAGTTATGCTGCTGTTTATGTGTATACACACAATTTGGCATCTACAAATTTGTAACTTCCGCTTCTCTCTCTCTCTCTCTTTTTAAATAAAAGTGGCAGAAAAGTTTAAGCACTCTGAAAAGCAGACTGATTTCCTGGGCAGAAACCAACAGACATGTAGAAACCAAAGAAAAAGAAAAGGTCAAAGTATACTATGTACTGCCTAAACAACATCAGCCCGAGATCTATCTAAAGTAAGATAACCCTGTGAAGTTTATTAATCTCTTTGTTTTGTGGTTGTATAAATACCAAGCTGTAGCCTTCTGGCTACCCTTTGTAGATTAGCAAAAATAAGGCTAATATTCATTACAGATCAAGAATAAATAATTTCCAAGGACACGTAAGTCTATCACACGCCTTCTTTTCCTTTGATTGACAAAATATTCTCCGTTGCATGATCTATTTATTATCACTCATTGCCTTATGCCAAATTGTAACAATATCCATCTGTTTCATATAAGATTGGTTTATTTATTTATTTATTTATTTATTTATTTGTTTGTTTATTTGTTTGTTTGTTTGTTTGTTTGTTTGTTTGTTTAAATCTATACCCCCCCAGACCATGTCTACATTCATTTCTGGTACTAAAAACAAATTATGGGCTCAAAAGGACATGTTTTTCCCCCAGCAAGCTCCAGTAGTGGATTTTGAGTCTTCAATAGGAGACCAATATGTGCCACATGCTTAAATCTGCTCCTGCCCCTTTTCTAATCCAGTACTGCCAAATCATATCCCATCACATTTTGCTAATACACATGCTCTTTTAACTAGAGGTGCCACTGGTTGACTTTAACAGCATAGATCTCTGTATCTCTCTTGACAAGTAATCCACAGTAATTTCAGTGGGGCTTCCTCTCATGTAAATGAATGCACTCTTTGGTTGCAATAGAGAGAGAGAGAGAGAGAGAGAGAGAGAGAGAGAGAGAGAGAGAGAGAGAGAGAGAACGAGAGAGAGAGAGAGAGAGAGATGCCCTACACAGTACTACATAGCACTGAACAGTCAGTGTTCAAGCAAGTGTTGAAAGAGTATACACCAAATATTCTGAACACTCAAGATAATTTCAAAGAAATCCTCCAGCAATTTGAATGGAAGCCATAATATTTACATGGTACGCATTCAAGGTGATGAAGTCGGCAAAGTAAAAAGCCGCTTTCAAACACATGTTGATTTTTAAATCTAACTTTATTTAGACCAATACCATTAGCATTAGTGTCACTCTGGAATGAGAAAATTTGCACAGCGTTCAAATTACAAAGTACATCCCTTGTAATTACACAGTGGCACAGCGGGCACACCCTCAGGCTCAGAGAGATACATTCTTTCTGGGAGATACAACCTCATAACCTTCCTTCCCCCCAACACTTGGAAAGCTGCAAACGTGCTAAATGCAATTTTTCAATAGCCTTCGGCAGAGCCAAAGTTGATACTTTGGAACCAAGGAAAATCAATAGTTCGTGTCACTACATAAGCCCACACATTAATCCTGAGAGGGCACATCTCACAGTTAAGCAGGCACAAGAGTGCAGTCTTGGAATGCAATTTCCTATTGAGATTTATACAAGGACGCTGGCTTTTAAGGTGTCTGCAGTAAACAATTCAATGGGCTAAATACTCTCAAAGGAAAGTGGCTTATCTTTCTTTCAATACTCTTCAAAAAGTATAGAGTTTCTGCAAATTTGGCAAGGGGCTGCCTGGCCAAGCAGCTAGCCGGAGCCTTCTTGTTAACTCTCTTGTTTAGCCAACTCTCCTTAGTTCCTGAGGCAAATACAGCGGACCCTCAACTTACAGACAGCTCCACTTATAGACTTTCCGAGTTACAGACTTCTCTGGCCGCAAAATTTAGGTTCGACTTGCAGCCGGAGAATCGACCTACAGGCCGGGGAAAAAAAACCCAAATGGAACAAAAACAGATTAATTGGTTTTCAGTGCACTGTAGGTCAATGGAGCCTCGGCCTACAGACTTTTCGACCTGCAGCCACCATTCCAATACAGATTAATTCCGTAAGTCGAGGGTCCGCTGTATTAGCTGTATGAAAAGGGGAACCCCGCAGCTATAGTTTCTAAGAATGCTTCAGAAATACATAATGAATGGTCTTGCACAGGTTAAGAATATTAAGAACTGTTAATCCAACTGAAAGGTTCATCAAATAAATCTTAACAAAAGATTCCTGAAACAGGTATGACAGAATACTGTTGACCTTTCCCTAACACTTGACTTGCACACTTTTAATGAGATTTCACCCATCCAACTAACTTATGTGTCTCAAGATAACATACAAAGCCGCAATAAAA